ATTATACAAAGTAATACATACATTAGAATGCTTTCATTATTTAAATGAGTGAGAGATAATTTAGCGACAAGATATATATACACCGGGAGGTGCAACCCACTACTCAGTGTATATACATGGAGTGTATATACAGTGTATATTCAATGAGTTTACTTTAGTTTTGGATAATGCATCAGACGATGAGTCATGATAACGTGGCTGAAGATATGATGAACAAACCAAACATCAGAAAGTGAAGAAAAGATGACTTTTCGGACGGTCCTGGACCGAATCATGTCTCACACGGCTTGATAATGATCCAGACCGGACCGAAACGTTGTCGCTGCCTCATTTTCTGTTGTGTGGTTTGGTCATTATCCTGGACAATGTGCAGAACTTAAGTATTCTTGTTGGTTGATCATTAAGCAACTGTGGCGGCCTTAAATAACCCACCAGAGGTCTGATAGACCTTTAGCCCACACCAAAATTAGATAACATTGCAAAGTTTAGATAATACCTCACTGTCAGTATTATTAAGTGATGGAATGGCTATAGTTTTATAGACTTCGTGTTCCCTAACAGGAAGACAATAATAAATAACCTTGGAATAGACACTGAGCATCACAGGCAAATCAGATTAAACATACCGTGTATAAGTTAAGTGAGGAAATTCTCTGAGGAAAATCCTCATCTCTTAAAGTCACGCTCTCAGGACGATCAGAATATTCAGAGTATGGATCTCCCACCCAATCACACACTTGTGTTGAAAGAAAAGACAAAATAATGGTCGAGTTTGATCAACTGTTCTTCCAGATTGGTTTCAATAAGACTTGAAATTTGCTGATAGCCTCCTTCACTCAGGAGCCTCAGTAGTAGTTAAAACATTTCAAAATGTTCTTTTGGAATATAATTTTTCCAAAGATTCAATCTTTTTTTAAATCCAAGAATTTTCTCACTTGAAGTCAATACATTTTCTCCATGACTTTAGCAGTGACTTGTTCAACTTATTCATGTGATCAAAAATGTCTGCTAAGTAGGCTAGCTTCTGCAACCATTCTTCATCTTCAAAGCTGCTGGCCAAATTTTGGCTTATTGTTTTCTTGAAAGAACTCCTGCAATTCATCCCTCAACTCGAGCACCCCTATTTAGAACTCTTCCTCTACTCAGCCACCGGATTTCAGCATGTAGTAAGAGATTTATATTCCCTTTGTCCAGATTTTCACACAGCTTTTTTAAACATTCTGGAGTGAACTGGTCCTTGTTTAATAAAGTTGACTATTTTTGAAGCATCGTTAAAAACTTTTTTCAATTGATCTGCAAGATATTTTGAAATCAGCAGCACTGAAGAAAGCAGTGTTGTGACAACAGCATCATTTTCTTGTCTCATAAGAGAAACAAAACCTCTTATAGAACTAACCATTGATCGGGCACCGTCACCACAGCAGTACACCGTCTCTTATCTCTCAAGGCTCTTTTAGTTTACCTTCGTTGAGAAACGCTGCCTAAAGCAACAATTTGTAAAACTAATAAGAAATGGTTTAAACGAAATAAGAAAACATAATGAATAATGAAGTACGTGAAGTTAGCTGGACAGACAAATCCTATCTCAAAGGGTTTTTTTTCCTGCAGGTCTGTGAAACAAAGATTAAGGGGTAGATTGTGTCTTTGAATACTGAAACGATTCAGGTAAATAATAATGACAAAGAAATGAATGGTAATACGTATTTTGCCAATGAATTTACTCGAGAAAACTTTACATTATGCCGGCAGCTCAACAAATCTATGAAAGTGGAGAAGAATAGCTGACTTATTTAGTGGTTACCGATGATATTAAATAATAGAAAATGAAAGTTCAACAAATCCTCAAAGTTATCTTCTCAAGGTTATTTTGAGATGATTTCGGGGCTTAGCGTCCCCGCGGCCCGGTCCTCGACCACGCCTCCTTTTTGTTACACACCCCTCCAGGAAGCAGCCCGTAGCAGCTGTCTAACTACCAGGTACCTAGTTACTACTAGGTGAACAGATGCATCAAGGTGAAAGAAACATTTTGCCCATTTGTCACCACCTCCACCGCGGATCGAACCCGGAACTTCAGGACTACGAATCCGAAGCGCTGTCCACACAGCTCTCAAACGCCCTAGTTTTTGTCAGTAAAAAGAATTTTCCAGAGCGTTAAAAGATGTACAGAATAAAGGATGGAGAGCCTTTGTCTTGAATATTTAATAAATCAATAGAGTTGAACACAATACCAGTCGTAGAGGGTTCAAAATTTGGAGCCGTTTTTTTAAGAACGGAGATAAATCTCTTGCGTGGAATTATCGTCCCAATTAGCTTAACGTCTGTTGTAGGCTAAATTGCAAAAGACATTTCTTCACTTTTTAAAAAGTATAGAATTAATAAGGGATTAACAACATGGTTTTACTAAGGGCCACTCGGGGTTAATAAATGATTGTCACATTTTTGTTCTTTGACGTAGGACAATTCTTTGATAATCTACCTCATAAGAGATTCATTTGAGAGCTAAAGGCACATCGTATTGGTGAGTCTACCTATTTGACGATTTCGAGTGTTTTGAAAGCCTAGCCTAGCCTAGCCTGTGGCCAGCATTCCCTGTTGACCGCCTGGTCTGTGAGGCTGTTTGCCTTTATTGCTCTCAGGTCTACATAGCCATAATAGCCAGCCATATCTAGCTATTATACCAGAAGCAGTCGACATAGCCATAGCTGATCCAGTAACCCCCATGAGAAACTTGTCCAGTACTCTCTTAAAAATTTCCACTCTAGTTCCAACAACATTCTCCATATATATATGTCGGCAGGAAATTACAGAGTAGCGGTCCTATGATGTTTCCGCCTCTTCTACAGTGCTCTATTACTGTGCTGACAGGTCCTACTTGTGTCAAAATAATGCAGAAAGTTAACAAATAAATAGTTAAGTTTTATTTGGTAAATGTTTAAAAGGAGTGGTCCGTGGCTCTAGGGCCAGATTCAGAAGCAGTTACGCAAATACTTACGAACCTGTACATTTTTCCTCAATCTTTGACGACGTTGGTTTCATTTATTAAACAGTTTACTAAACGTCCCAATCAACTGTTGTTATTGTTATAAACAGCCTCCTGGTGCTTCGGAGCTCATTAACTGTTTAATAATTGTAAACAAAGCTGCCAAAGATTGAGAAAAGATGTACAGGTTCGTAAGTGCTTGCGTAAATGTTTCGTAAATCTGGCCCCTGGACAGTGGTCTCCTTAATTGTCGACTCACCAGCGAGAGTCCTGGGATCGATTCCAGGCCGGGACAGATATGATTGAACACATTTCCTTTCACGTAATGCCTCTATTCACTTAGTAGTAAATAGATACCCCAGGAGAAACCTATAGGAACACCGGAGAAATTTGTGATCACAAAGAAATCAAAATGACGTGATATATCACGCTATTTTGATTTCTTTGTGATCTGAGTGAGACGTAAGAGTGGGAACACCATACCGCAGGCCAGAGTGTGGCTGGATCGACTGTAAAAACCCAAGTTGGGCTTGGGTGTGGGGGTTCCAGACCCTCCCAGTGAATTCAGTAGAGTTATGGGTTGGTCGACTTTTGTATCATCATGACCGAGTCGGTTTGAGCAGGCGTCTTTGCTTTACCAGAACGCGAGTTTGAGTCACTATATATATATATATATATATATATATATATATATATATATATATATATATATATATATATATATATATATATAGTATTAGGTTCATATAAAATCAGTTTTCTGTACCCTCAAAATAATAAATTCCGAGGGTATAAATCTCGAGAAATTCCCTGCGGGACGTGAAGCAAATTTTGCAGAGCTCAAGAGGCATTATACACCAGCGATGGACTCGGCTAATGGAGCCCCTCCAGGCCTTTCGTTTTCCGTTTTGGGGAGAGATTTACAGGTTGAGTAAAATATTGTGCACGGTCGTCACGATTGGCTGTGGTGCTGGCTAGTGCTGGCTAGTTGGGTGTGGTGCAGGCTAGTGCTGGCTAGTTGGGTGTGGTGCTGGCTAGTGCTGGCTAGTTGGGTGTGGTGCTGGCTAGTTGGTTGTGGTGCTGGCTAGTTGGTTGTGGTGCTGGCTAGTTGGTTGTGGTGCTGGCTAGTTGGTTGTGGTGCTGGCTAGTTGGGTGTGGTGCTGGCTAGTTGGTTGTGGTGCTGGCTAGTTGGTTGTGGTGCTGGCTAGTTGGTTGTGGTGCAGGCTAGTTGGGTGTGGTGCTGGCTAGTTGGGTGTGGTGCTGGCTAGTTGGTTGTGGTGCTGGCTAGTTGGGTGTGGTGCTGGCTAGTTGGTTGTGGTGCTGGCTAGTTGGGTGTGGCGCTAGCTTTGGTCCCGCCTCTTAACTGCTAATCAACTGGAGTTCAAATGTGTGTGTGTGTGTGTGTGTGTGTGTGTGTGTGTGTACTCACCTATTTATATCTGCAGGATCGAGCATTGACTCTTGGATCCCGCCTTTCTAGCCATCGGCTGTTTACAGCAATAACTCCAGTCCTATTTCCCTATCGTACCTAGTTTTAAAATTATGAATAGAATTTGCTTCCACAACCTGCTCCTTAAGCGCATTCTGTTTTTCCACTAGTCTCACACTAAAAGTGTGAGTTGTGGAAAATTCCAGTGAGTACTGGAAACCATTTTCCAGTAGTGGAAAATGGTTCCACTTTTGGAAAATGGTTTCACAAATGGAAAATGGAGAGATGGTTCACGAGGTACACTCGTGAACCATCTATAGTGACGGGAAGTGTAAGAGTGAAGGATGAGACGTAGTGAGGGGAGGATGAAATGAGAGGGACTGCAGGAGAGAATGCCAGGCAAAGGGAATGCTGAATGTAAGAAGCAACTTAAGGGAAGAGGAAGGGGGAAAAGTGACTGGGATTGTGGAACCAAGCCCATGACGGAACAGGGAGAGAGCCCCCAGTGTGTAGAGATTGTCGGCGAGCTGAACACCACAAGTTTTAACATACAATCCCCAGCTTAACCAGGCTAAGAGAGGAGGGACTTACTCTTGTGGCAAGTGTGTCCGTAGTGCCCCGTGTTGGCACAGAGGCACTGGTAACCGGGGTCCTTCACTGTCTGAGAGCACACGCCGCCGTGCGCGCAGGGGCTCGCCTCACATGCGTCCCTCACCTCGCCCTGAGGAAAGAGATGTCACGCATCACAAACTATAATGCTACTGTGAATCTTTTACGCCCAGAGGTGTTGATACCCTGAGGTCCGCAGGCGTTATCTGATGCTTGGTGCTTCATATTCCGTTTTGAATCCATAAATTATACCTACAATGTGTATTTACTATCTTATAATGACCATTGCTATTTAGTAAAGTATGATTATAATGACCAATGCTAAAAAATTATCAATATTTTTTATTTACATAAAGAAACTTAAATTTTAACAATTAAGTGATTTATATATGAGTAATGGTTTTTGATGATGTTATTGATCACTCCACAGCCTAATAACGTGTGGCGAACAACACTTACTGTCAAAAGGAGAATAAAAAATATACATTTTAACGTGAAAATAATCATATAAATTACCTTTTGTTCAGGATCATGAAATGAAGTTCTACATTCGTCTGAATGTGTCATAAATGTCTGGTTGGATGAATAATGGTAGGAACACGAAAATTTGTTTCAGTGAGGGGGGTGATTTCAAATTTTCTGTCTTCGAGTAAATTATTTCGGCTAGTGGTGCAATTTGGGCATCGCAGTCCGCAATATGTGATTTGCAGACTGCAATATGCAAATCTGTGAACCATATGCATATTGTTATAGAGAGAGTTACTGCGTGGGTCGTCCCTCCAGAAGGATGAGGAAGATGGTAAACTCACAGTGGGATGACGACAGAGTTTGGGCAACCTCATAGTGAGTATATAACTTGCTTCTATTGTTTTTGGTTTGATGGAGTATTATTCAAATATACTCTGAATATATATATATATATATATATATATATATATATATATATATATATATATATATATATATATATATATATATATATAATATGCGAACAAGCTTGAATGGTGCCCAAGCATATATGAAACTAAAAACTCCACACCCCAGAAGGATTTGAACCCAGACAGCCAGGAGCACATGCACCATGGCGTACCCGGTTCTTTAACCACTCGACCAACCGTGAATGTACAAAAGGCATATTTAATCTTACTTCTGTAACAAATATATCATCAGTAAGCTTACGTTAGAGTACCATCATTCATTGCATCACAGAAAAGGGATATGTATATCAAATATGGTCCCTCACTTCTCGGTGTATTTGCACTTGAGTTTAATTTAGTCCTGTACTATGTCCAGGAAAAAAGTATACTCGCTGGATGGTCAGTAAGCATTGTGATGGACTTAAAACACTTCCAGAGGTTGGTAGACTTAAGCCCAACACCCATCACATCAATAGGGGTATAATGCAATGAGATGGTCCTAATAACTCTCCAGAAATTGACTGGCCTTAAGTCCAACACTAAAATACATAACACGAAACGCAGCTTAAGTGAACATTCAACACACACGACGACTATGTTGCATTCAGTGCTGTAAAGCAGGAAACTCACCCAAACATAACATGATGCAGGGAACTCATTGGAGTACAGAGAGATGTAGATTATCACCTGAGCAGAACTTGAGTCACGGGACCCATCGGAACGCAGCGTGAGACATGGGATTGACTCACCTGAGCACATCATGAGACAGGAGACTTGCTGAAGCACAGCGTGAGTCACGGGACTCACCTGAACACCCCGTGAGGCAGGGGACTCACCTTGAGGGCGGCCTGGCACTGGTCACGGGTGGAGTATCTGAAGGTGGTGTCGCAGCCGAGGCCGCAGACGCAGGCGTCCTCGTCGATCCTGCAGCCCTGCACGAGCTGGTCCGGCTCGCACGCCAGCACTCCTCCTGTAGCAACATGGGCCGTGGTTAATGGCGTGTTATATAGTCTCCATAACCTCTCACCTCCCACGGTCAGGGGTTGTGTGGTTAATGGTGAATGTGTTATATAGTCGACTTGGCCTGAAACATCTGAAGCTCATATGTGTATACTTCACATGTTTCAGGCATAGCACACGTACAACAAAGGCTGACGATGAATAACTCGGACAAACAGAGAAGAAAACAAGTATTATCAACTTTCGTAATACATATCTTGTACTGAAGTTCAAATTCTTTACCAAACGTTATCATTATGATTTAGGTGATGTTTTACACCTGTATGACACTAGAGGGTTTACCCGGCGGTGCCCGGGATAGTCACTCTCTCTTCCTTCTCTTCCCTCCCCATCTTCCTACCCTCTCCCCTCTTCACCATTCGTCTTTCAACCTCAAACAGACACACATTTCCATTTAATACTGAATTCTTCGTCATCATTTTCAAGTGAAAAAAAAATCCGATTTTGAGGTGGGAGGGAGAAGAGGAGGGGGTTGCCATTTTGCCTTACCCCCTCTTAATAGGGCATCAATAGGGCCGATCTCGATTAGCCTATATCCGCCCCAGACTATCACACCCTGCAAAGTTTAGTGAGGCTAGCCATAAGCCTCTGGCCTCCGTCCTTTGGCAGCCACACTCTCTTATAGGTTGGTTTGGAATTCACATCCCACAGTTACAAATATACAGCATCTTTTGTACATAATACTCTATAATATATTCCAATCATAACAATCCAATAGGCGGTTTATATTGCTGTGAAATTAGTTAGAGCCCAGGGGATATTGCTCTCTGAATTCTGTCTGATTATCTAGCACTTGATACGCAAGAGGATATAATTACCCTGGCGCTGGTGCAACTTTACTACAATTTCAGTTCAGCCTCTCTCTCTCTCTATATATATATATCAGTGCCTATATTGTATTTATATGAATTTTATATTCTCAATGTTGAAAATAAACGTTAAAATTTTGTTTTTAATTATCCTAATTTGAAACATTTGATGAGCGAGCGCAGTATATGTATTTTTTGTCTTAGAGTTGTAATTATATAAATGTTAAATAAATCAGTTTCCCCTTCTGCCACGCAATATCTGGCAGTGTGGCGTCCCAACTCGGAAACTTCTCTCTTCATTTACAGTTGCCGGGGACAAGGATCAGCGCTGGGCCTCCACTGCCGGCAGGGATCACCTCCATCGCCTCGCGGCGCCATCCTGGACCTCATCCTAGCTCCACGTGGGCCGGGATCACCACCATTGCTATCCAGTGTCATCCTGAACGTAATCCTAGCCTAACGTGGGCCAGGATCGTCACCTTGGCCTCACTGCTCTACACTGCTCTTCGACAGGGGTAACTGCCTCACTTCTCGCAACACCTGCATGAAATACCTTTGCCCATTTGCTTTCACTTTCCCTCTGATGATGCTCGGGTGTACTTTATGGAAACACGTCAGACCCATTAGAATGCGTATAATTATATTTTGATTATAAAGTTGTCCGTTTCAGTTTCTCCCACAACATGCTATATAGTGCATGTTATACAAATATTCTATAAGGTAAGCTGTGTACAAACACACAGTGGAACGAAAGAATATACAAACTTAATACAGAGAGCGTCGAACGACAAGAGAATGCAAAATACACAAACATGTTATAGTGTAGAGTGTATCATTTGCAACTATGCTGTGATTGCGTCATATGAAACTGAGCTAAGGAATGCGTCGCATACAAATAGGCTGTAAAATACATCTCATAAAAAACATGCTGTAGACTGCGTCGTAAACAGCTATTCCGTAGAGTGCGTCGTACACAACCATGCTGTGGAGTGCGTTTCACCCAAACCATGCTGTGGGGTGCGTCACACTCAACCATGCTGAAGAGTGTGCTCGCTGGCAATCTGTTTCTCTGTTTGACATTGTGACGTATGGTATAATTTGCATCTTATTACTCTTTTTTTAATGAATTTATTTCCTGGGGGGTTTAATTAATAGGTTAATAACTTTAACATCTGGCTGGTAATGTATTCATGGAAGCCGGCGTAGCCGTGCACTAAATTTGTACGAGTTTCCCCTACGAATAAACGCGTGTGAATGTTAGAACCTAAAATAGAGCTTGACTGCCGCAGTGCAAATATTGACCAGTCCGCTGGGCAAGGATTCATGAACGCATTTATGCAGCCACTTACGAAACCTTTACATCTTGCCTTAATCATTACAGATTTGTTGACATGTTATAAAGAACCGAGAAGTTGTTTATCCTTGGGTGTTGATGGTTCGAATGTTGTAAATTGTATATGTAAATTGATTGTTGACCAGACCACACACTAGAAGGTGAAGGGACGACGACGTTTCGGTCCGTCCTGGACCATTCTCAAGTCGATAAGGGACGACGACGTTTCGGTCCGTCCTGGATCATTCTCAAGTCGATGTCGACTTGAGAATGGTCCAGGACGGACCGAAACGTCGTCGTCCCTTCACCTTCTAGTGTGTGGTCTGGTCTGGTCAACATACTTTAGCCGCGTTATTGTGACTCATCGCCTGTATATGTAAACAAAGTCACTATAATTAAGGAAAGATGTACAGGTTTCGTAAGTGGTTGGGTAAATGCTTGTCTAATCCTGGTCAAGGATGTTTGGTTATATCAGCGGAAAAAAACACTGATGCTAAACAAATTTGAAAACTGAACGGAAGACGGTATATAAAGTGTGTCGGTGTAAAATACATAGAAGGGCATTCCATCCCACCATAGAGCCTGACTATTTTCTCGTAGAAACCGTCTAACCCCTGAATAAGTTGACATAAGATGCAGAGGTTGTGCAAATTTTATATTTAATTTGTTAGTTATCTCTTAAACTGTGTGAATTTCATTGAGTTCCTGCTTTAAATTATTTATGAATTACCTTTGATAATGTATCCCTTAATGTTGGTAAATAGTGAAATAAATGGATTATTCCTCTTTCTCAAGGTCATGTCGAATTAGACCTCGGAGCTTTGAATTATACAATTAAATTAATATTAAAGCAAATCAAAGATCAGTTATCTTTTATTAATATATCACTTATATATCGTGAACTTTCTCCTAACGCGTCATAATCGTGCCTGGGGACCGGATAAAAATAACATAAAACTAGAAAAAGCTAACCTATCCTTACTATTCTTTTTGCTTCGATAACCTCTGTCAGGCTTGATTAAATTAATATAAATTAATTTTGTTTCCCCCTAAAAAATGTTTTCAGCTAGATATTCACCAGAGACTAAAATAGATATTTTTCCCACGGGATTTCCTGCACGTGTTAACATCGTATAACGAATTGAAGTGACGATTGTTTTGGGGTTTCCGCCTAACAAAGTTTGTAGCCCGTTGCTTTTCGTTTCGACAATATAGCGTGCGTTTGTTACGGGTTGCTGACAGCAGCACCGTTCGCCCTTGCTCGCTCTCTCTCCTCGTGAGAGAGACCATTCAGCTTTGACCGTGTTTGATCTATTGCTGACTCAGAGTGACTCCCATACCACCAGCCGTACACAACTATATTGAGCTAGTCGTTCATGCAAACTCCACGTTTCCATCAAGGAGAAGAGCTGGTCGCAGAAAACGGAAGACAGCAATGTCGCATGCTGATAAGAGACGCAAAATAGTGGACACAATGTTTCCTTCAAATACGCTAAATAATTAGGAAAATGTGAAAGTTTATCCCATCATCTATATGTAATTCTTCAGTTCAGCGCACAGACTGTTACCAATTTTGTGACAACAAATTCGAGTATTAAAAACGGGCTGTGTAATATACCAGCCCGTTCTCTTCATTTGCCACTTCATTATAAAAATAAAACGTGAATATTCTTAGTCGTTTGTTTTCTTAATAGAGTGCATCAATGATATTGGTTACGGTAAAGTAAAAACGGCAACCTATTGTCTGGGAGGACTGGTTGGATATATATCCCCAACAGAAAACAACAAAAGACTCCAACGGGCTCGCCATAGCCCGTGCTGCTTGGAACTTTTGGTTCCCAGTAGCTGAATCTAAAACAACAACAGAAAACCCAGTCTGGAGTGAGACAGAAACAACTGAGCAAGTTGCTGTGTTATGCAACCCTCCAGAAAACGACAGAAGACTTAGACAGGAGCACGACATTAACAACAGAGCAATTGTCACAATCATGAAACGAGCTTGCCTCACTGGCATGTAGGAAAAGGTCTCAACTCTTAATCATGGGGAAATTCAACTAGGGGAAAGTTTATTCTGGAGAACGGAGAACATTATTGACGGCAGAGATACATAGAGAATCAAGCTAACTGAAGCAGCAACAGAAAACATGAAGTCAACATATCAGTGGGTTCACAAATATGATGGGAATTGACGAAATTATCAGATTTAACCTGTTACACAATATGAGTCAGAAATGATGGAAGTCAATTTCGAAATCCCGTTGTGACTGAGCCATCACTATAGTGACATTTGAGTCTCTGGTATAACTTGGCACGAACTGTCCAGGAAAGGGATTAGGATGTAGAAGGTTGACAACACCATAAAGAGAAATTATGAGGACATGAGAGACTTTCCATGAAGAATATCTAAGGGATAAAACTCAGAGGAAAGTCTAGCGCGGGAAGGGAAAATTTAATTCCTTTCAAAGACGACAGTGACTTATAAATATGCCGAACTAATTAACATCAGAAAGAATAAAATAATGCAGACTAGATAGATTAATATGAGAAACTGAGTAATAAAAAAATCAATGTTACATAAATATAAATTAAATCTAACTCTTCAGTGAACAAAACTAAAAAAAAATGCAAAATAAGTCCCATTATTATTAATAACAAATACTCAAAATTGGTAAAATCAAATTAAAAATTACTAACTGGAATAATTCAAATAATTACATTACTGACAAAGAATCTGAATTGTATAATTACTGACAGCATGAATAATTACCACGTAATGCTGTTCATAGAGTTAAAGGGAAACGCAATGGA